AGCGCGTCTAACAGCCGTAGCTGTAGGCTTGGGTCGGAGACCCGAAGCCCACCCCTTGGAACAGGAGACCGACGGGTCCGCGCTGGAGGCGGAAGTCCTTAAGGTCCGGCAAACCTTTATAGGACGGCCAACAAGGCCCCCGAAGTAGCAGAACATTGGGGGGATTTGGCACTGCTATAACATCTTCTAGAGGAGAGACCAACCCCTATGGGTTCCACGAGTGAAGACCCATGGGGTAAAAACCAAACCCCTGAGGGAATGGGAATGGTCCAGCGGGCCGGGAGTGACCCCAGAACTTGCCAAGATGGCCAGTCTGAGTCTGGGACTGGACACCCTGTCCAAAGGACCAGGATGAACCGTCACTCCCACCAGGTGGAAACCCAGACATGTACGGCTAAGCCCGTAACTGCTGAGTAACTGTTGGTACCCAAAACCATCCGCAGGTTGGCCTGGGCAACCCAGGAATAAGTGCCCGCAGGCACCCCTGCTCCCTGAGCCCGGGGAAAGGGAGACCAGAAACCGGACTCCTGGCCTGAAGCGCCAAACCCTTGGGGGAAACCCCCTGGGAAACCCTGCACTGGGAAATCTGGACTGGGGCGGAAAGTCCCAGAGCCAGAAGCCTATGAGGGTGGGAAAACAGACCCCGCGCTGACACCAGGATTAGTGTGTAGCCACAGACAAAAAGTCTGTGGCCCCTGACCCTATACCCGAAGGCACAGGTCCTGAGTCAAAGCGGCCCCCACCAATGATGCCACCTGGTGCGCTGAGGTCCCTGAAGGAATCAGAGACCTCGACCGGAAGTCCCTTTCCGACGGTAACACCACCGGCTATCGAGAGCTACTGGCCAATTCGACTCTTGACTGCGCCAAGTCAGGGTTGGGCTTCCCCCCTCCCCTCCTACTCCAGGACGCACCTGGACAGGGGGAGCCATCCCCTGCTGAAGGGCAGAGCTCGGTGGAATGAGAGCACCCCCAGCAGGAACGCCCAAAACACCTACTGGTTCAGAACCTGGGGAGGAGGTCTTAAAAAGCTTACTTCCCTTACCGGAAGAAGAGGACGAATCCCTCTTCTGGCGGGAAGTTAGCCCGACAGACATGGGAGCCTAAGCAGCAGACTCCATGTGCAAACAAAGTTCACATTGCGAGGTCTGGCTGCAAGGTCGACAAAGGGGACAGGCATCATGGGGGTCCCATTATCCATAGAAATAGGAACATCCATGCGCTGACTCCCGACGTAAACCTGGCACTATTATCCATCATCGAAACAATAAAAAATCGTAACAATGAAAACAAGGACAACAAACTTTTCTAACAATAAAAAAAAACTACGAACGAGAGCACAAAGCCTACCGTACACAGCAAGATTGCAGTGCAAAAAAGAAAACGGTCGTACAAAACGGCCGACAAAGCAGCAAGAAAACAATTTCAACTTCACGAAAATCCGAGTGATGAGACAAGTAGTCACACACTTGAACACGTGGAGGAAAAACACGGCCGGATACAAAGTTTTCGAACAATAAAAAAACTACGAACGAGAGCACAAAGCCTACCGTACGCAGCAAGATTGCACTGCACAAAAGAAAACGGTCGTACAACACAGCCGACAAAGCAGCAAGAAAACAAATTCCAACTTCACGAAAATCCGAGCAACGAGACAAGTAGTCACGCACTCGAATACGTGGAGGAAAAAACGGCCGGAAATACGGTCAAAATAAACAAATGACAATACTTAATTTCACAATATAAGTTGGGAGATGGGTTTACAGACTACTAAATGAGTAACAATATACTCAAACGACAATAGCGGTACAAAGAGAAGGAGTAAGAAAAGCACTGAGCTCAGACACCTCCGCAATCGTCAGCAGCCATAAAGGTAAGAGGAAGGTAGATCACTCTGCGTTCCTGCCGTGATGGCTCATGGATCATAGGGAGGGCGGGATGGTTTTTTTTTTTAAATCTTTTGTTGTTGGGATACAAAGATGGGTGTAGATACTGTATTTGCATACTAAAGTTATGGTAATTATTGCTGAAATGAAAGTAAGGTTTTACCCATCAAAGCCAAACAAACCAGACATTACTATATGTCAGGAGAAAGCAATCCAATTCTACTGGAAAATACCACAACAGAAAAAGATAATATTGACAAAGACCTAATATTCTCTTTCCATATCCAACAAATTGCTAATAAGGCAACATTTAGAATATGCTTCAAGTGTGTGCAGTCCGTATAAAATGAAAGATATTGAATCATTCGAAAGGGTCCAGAGGCGAGCCACTAAACTGGTCCCAAGCTTAAAGGATTTACCTTATTGTGTCAGACTTAAAAATCTAGGACTTCCTACATTAATTTATCAAAGGTTAAGAGGAGACATGATTAATGTCTTTAAAATAATCAACAGCTTCTACGAGGGTTTGACCATATTTTGTAACCCCGAGGGTGGAATATCCCTATCCTACATACACACATAATGAGTCTTTTTCTCTCATATCTTTACCAAAATTTTGGGAAAAGGACTGTCGGCCATTACCTTCATGTGTTTCATTTTTTCAATCCGAGGTTTTTACAAAAAACGAACTAGATATTCTTAATGATCATACCCATATTCTGCAAACTTTCAGTTTGCTGTCAAATTTCAAACCATTTTTCGATATATTGCAGGATGAATATATTATTCGCAGATGAAAAAAACCAAAAATGATCTCTGTGTGATTATATAGTATGTGTAAGTAAACATCCGCGAAAAGAAATTGTTCCATCAAATACTTCAAAGAAATCAACAAGGAACAGATTTTTATAATTCAACATATAGTTTTATCATCAAAATCACATATTTGATCATTTTAAGAAATATATCAATGTATCTTTTCACTGTTTTAACATTTTCTCAAAATACTGTGACGCTGACATGACGTCACCATAGTCAAAGGAATTCCATTCATAAATTCAAGGCGTGATGTCACACGATCTCCTATTCCGAGTCGCTGTCGCTCTCAATCACCATGATTCGACGACGTTTGGGTGGTAGAACATTTGTGGTGATATTTACGGATATTTGGCAATTTTCAATGTGAGAACCAGCAAACAAGGATTCGATGCGAGTTTCAGATTGTTTCTGTGATACAGGATTGTAGGTGTTAACCGTGTTTTCTTGTTGTGATGACGATGGTAAACACACTGTGACATCAGATGTAGGCCTAGTAACTGTTAAGGTTGTTTGTTGACATGACGATGACAGATGACAGCTGACAGATCAATGTAAACAAGCAGACGACGCTGTAAGAGTTGGCTCCCCTGAACACAGATTACTCCGCGTACGTGTTTGCCCATGTAAGATAGAATTTTCTTACATAGCTATCTTACATGGGCAAACTCTATCCAATATGGCAGGATATGAGAGAAAGTTGAATCCATTAAAGCATTAATAAAGAGTAGCATTTTGAAGTAAAATGTTGTCTTAATATCCTTTGGGGGCCCGCCCTTAAGTCCCTAGGGGTCAAATCAAATTTTTGAATTTGAGAAATGATTGTTTACCCTAACTGATGAATCATGCCAAAGCTTGTTGAAATCTACTTAGGCAGAAAGGAGGAGGAGGGCTTTAAATCTAATTTCAGCATCTCCCTATAACTATAAGAAACTATAAACTTTATTTATTTTATGACAATTGCAAAACCAGTTATATCAACTTATACTAATCACTCTTGTTGGCCCGGATGTAAGTGCAAGGTCTTATTGTGGGAGGAAACACATTACCCATGGAAAAACCACGTGGTCGGACAGGTGACACTTACCTTTTCATGTCCGTTCCAGGAGTCCAACCCTGGACGACTAGGTGAAAGGCAAGTGCGTTACCACTGTGCCACCCAACCACCCAATCAGTGTCTTAAAATATAAGCTGTATTTTGGCTCAGGACAGAAAGACAAAAGTGACTCTATATATCAAGATGGACTACTCTGAAAAGGATTACAGCTTCAAGTGACATTAAATGTAAAATGATTTATCTACTGGTGTTGATAACCATGACATTGCAGGAATTGCTATCATATTTCAATACAACTGATCCATGTGTTCTGTTGCATTGAGTGAAAATCATTTTTGGAAAATAAAAGAAAAAGGACTAAACATTGACATGGTAGTCAAATGATAAAAGATCAAAAACATTTTACAAAAATGATTTATATATGAATGTTAGGGTACTATTTTGTAGCTTTTTGTATGTTTTTTATTACCCACAAAAAGTTATACCTTTTATGTACTTTTTTCACACTCGCAAAAAGTTCAATACTTTTTGTCCCTTTTACCTATGTATATGATCAATAAAGAAATAAGGACAGTACTGACAAACGAATTGTCAAATTTTCAAGGCAATCTGCCCCTTTATCAAGACACAAATATTACATAAATTACATCACATACATTGAACATGAAACAGATACAAAGTAATGAATTTAAATATGAGAATAGTTAGGTGTCTCGCTAATCCCTTCAGCTGATGGACACCAAAGACCCTTTATAAGGAACGAAAGATAGTGATTTAAAAGTATGAATGTATGTAAAGTGACAGTAACAAGTATTTTCGATAAAAATCAGCAGTTAGATGCACAAAAAATGTATATAAAAGATATTGTTTTGAATATGGATAAATAGGCCCCAGTTTTGTCAACTCAAAACAAGATTTTCTACTTTCAGACTAAAGTTAATAATTGGTCCCCAATCTTAAATTGGAACGAAAGCAGAGCCTAAAGAACTTAATGAGAAGTGAACTGAATTTGGAAAGGAAGTTAAAGAAGAAAAAATATGATATAGAATTGGAGAATTTCTTCAACTGGAGATTTTTCATGTCTGTTTTAATTCGAAATAATGCGTAATCAGTTATTCTCTCTAACAGGACTTATCAAAGTTTGTAAAAATGTTTAATGACATTGTTATTCATTCAAGGGGAGAGAGTGTGGTCAATAAATATTAAGGGCAAATAAAGATAAAAAAATTCCTGTACACTTACCGTGAGAAGAGCAACACCTCTGCCACTTACTGTGAAAGGCACCTCCATAATATCATCTGGCAGCTGTTTAAAAATTGTAAACACAAAAATAAATAAAAATGTCCTTTTCTTGGAGTTTTTACAATTTTTCATGCCTTTTCTGAATAAGATGACTGGTATCAATTTGAAATGTCGATAAAATAAATGTTACTGTTGCAAATTCAATATAAAATTAGTTGAAAAAGAGTACTGCAGAGTTGAGCTGTATAAAAATGCTCACACATTGATTTGTTTTATGAAAAGGGACACAAAAATGGAAATGGTAACTATAAGTCAAAAAGTTGACAGAAAACAGTGCTATATGTTGTAATGATAGATTAAATCCTGCAATTTTTAAAGAGATAGGTGGAAAACTGAAAGAAATGCTGAAAAGAAAAAAGAGCAATAATTTTTTGAAATATTGGTGAATCTGATTGTTATTCAAGAGATCACAATCTCACATTAAAGCAACTTGGCAAGTTTGAAAAAGAAATTGGTCGAAAACTGTGAGAGGAGATCTCCAGACAAGGCGAACATAATGAAAACAACGAGGGGCAGTAACTCTTCCATATACAATTGAATCAAACTGCCATTCAGGGAAATACAACATCATATCTTAGTGATTATAAACCTACCTAGGTGTTATTTTTGTCCCCATATATACAAACACCTGATCTATGAAACAATGTTAACTCCATGCAAACCTTTTCCTTCTGGTAGAGAAATTTGTTATCATCGTTGACAACAAGCATCTTATTTAAGATCCCATCTGTGTCAACAGTGAGGTTCATCCCGGCACTGCTCTTTCCAATCAGGATGGATATTGCTGCAATAGCCTGGAGTCCTATCACTGTATCCTAATTCAGAAAAATGAAATTGTATTTATTTCTCTGATGGATGTTATGTTCTGGCTTATAGTAATTATAATACACTGTTAATGATATTCTGAATGTATATGTAAATTCAGGGGGCATCACTCAAGTTGTACAGAAAAATATAGCAATTTCAGGGGGCATCACTCAAGTTGTACAGAAAAATATAGCAATTTCAGGGGGCATCACTCAAGTTGTACAGAAAAAATGTTAATTTCAGGGGGCATCACTCAAGTTGTACAGAAAAATAACAGCAATTTCAGGGGGCATCACTCAAGTTGTACAGAAAAAATGTTAATTTCAGGGGGCATCACTCAAGTTGTACAGAACAATATAGCAATTTCAGGGGGCATCACTCAAGTTGTACAGAAAAAATTAGTAATTTCAGGGGGAATAACTCAAGTTGTACAGAAAAAATGTTAATTTCAGGGGGCATCACTCAAGTTGTACAGAAAAAATGTTAATTTCAGGGGGCATCACTCAAGTTGTACAGAACAATATAGCAATTTCAGGGGGCATCACTCAAGTTGTACAGAAAAATTTAGTAATTTCAGGGGGAATAACTCAAGTTGTACAGAAAAAATGTTAATTTCAGGGGGCATCACTCAAGTTGTACATAAAAATATAGTAATTTCTGGGGGAATAACTCAAGTTGTATAGAAAAAAATTGATGTAATTTCAGGAGGAATAACTTTTAAACTGTCACACTATTAGGAGAAGGTGGTACAGTGACTGTGACATTATATAATAATGTCTACTACTATGCATATGTAAGTATCTTGATTGTTTGATGAATTTGCTTAAGTTGTCACATATGACCTTTCGCCCTTTATCCTTGAGCACTTTAAAATGAAGAAGTGTAAACTTGATGTTATGTTACTATGGGAGTAAATATGAAACAAATCTGTTGAGAGGTTTTCAAGATAGGACATTGATTCAGGATGGGATTGGCAGGATGGGATTTGACAGGGGGGGGTGACACGGAGGTGAAAAAAAGTGACAGGGGAGGTGACAGAACAAGTGGTGACAGGATGAGAGGTGAAAGGGGAGATGACAGCATGGGTGGTGACAGAATGGGAAATGGCAGGATGGGAGTGGAAGGTGACAGGATGGGACTTGACAGAATGGGTGGTAACAGGATGGGAGGTGTCAGGATGGGATCAGAAGGTGACAGGATGGGAGGAGGCAGGATGGGAGTGGAAGGTGACAGAATGGGAGTTGGCAGGATGGAGGTGGCAGAATGGGAGTGAAAGGTGAAAGGATGGGAGGAGGCAGCATGGGAGGAGGCAGGATGGGAGTGGAAGGTGACAGGATGGGAGGTGGCAGGATGGGAGGTAGCGGAATGGGAGTGGAAGGTGACTGGATGGGAGGTGACAGGATGGGAGGTGGCAGAATGGGAGAGGAAGGTGACAGGATGGGAAGTGACAGAATGGGAGGTGGCAGGATGGGATGTGACAGGATGGGAGGTGGCAGGATGGGAGGTGACGGGATAGGAGTGGAAAGTGACAGAATAGGAGGTGAAATGATGGGAGGTGACAAAATAGGAGATGACAGGATTGGAGGTGACAGGATGGGAGGTGAGAGGATGGGAGGAGAGGATAGGAGGTGGTTGGATGGGTGGTGACAGGAAAGGATGTGACAGGATAGGAGGTGATAGGATGGGAGAGGAAGGTGACAGAATAGGATATGACAGGATGGGTGGTGACAGGATGGGAGGCGACAGGATGGCAGTTGACAGGATGGGAGTTGGCTGGATGGGAGGTGAAAGGATGGGAGGTGACAGGATGGGAGGTGGCAGGATGGGAGGTGACAGGATGGGAGGTGACAGGATGGGGAGGGGGTGATGGGATGGGAGGTGGGAGGATGGAGTGGAAGGTCATAGGTTGGGAAATGACAGGATAGGAGGTGGCAGGATGGGAGATGACTGGATGGGTGGTGACAGGATGGGAAATGACAGGATGGGAGGTGACAGGATGGTTGCTGACAGGATTGGTGGTGACAGGATGGGAGGTGGCAGGATGGGAGGTGGCAGGATGGAAGGTGAAAGGATGGGAGGTTACAGGATGGGAGGTGACAGGATGGGAGTGGAAGGTGACAGGATGGAAGGTGACAGAATGGGAGGTGGCAGAATGGGAGAGGAAGGTGACAGGATGGGAAGTGGCAGGATGGGATGTGACAGGATGGGAGGTGGCAGGATGGGAGGTGACGGGATAGGAGTGGAAGGTGACAGAATTGGAGGTGAAATGATGGGAGGTGACAGAATAGGAGATGACAGGATTGGAGGTGACAGGATGGGAGGTGAGAAGATGGGAGGAGAGGATGGGAGGTGGTTGGATGGGTGGTGACAGGAAAGGATGTGACAGGATAGGAGGTGATAGGATGGGAGAGGAAGGTGACAGAATAGGATATGACAGGATGGGTGGTGACAGGATGGCAGTTGACAGGATGGGAGTTGGCCGGATGGGAGGTGACAGGATGGGAGTTGACAGGATGGGAGGTGGCAGGATGGAAGGTGAAAGAATGGGAGGTGACAGGATGGGAGGTGACAGGATGGGAGTTGACAGGATGGGAGGTGAAAGAATGGGAGGTGACAGGATGGGAGGTGACAGGATGGGAGGTGAAAGAATGGGAGGTGACAGGATGGGAGGTGACAGGATGGGAGTTGACAGGATGGGAGTTGACAGGATTGGAGGTGGCAGGATGGGAGCTGAAAGGATGGGAGTTGACAGGATAGGAGGTGAAAGAATGGGAGGTGACAGGATGGGAGGTGACAGGATGGGAGTTGACAGGATGGGAGTTGACAGGATTGGAGGTGGCAGGATGGGAGCTGAAAGGATGGGAGGTGGCAGGATGGGAGGTGACAGGATGGGGAGGGGGTGACGGGATGGGAGGTGGGAGGATGGAGTGGAAGGTCATAGGTTGGGAAATGACAGGATAGGAGGTGGCAGGATAGGAGATGACTGGATGGGTGGTGACAGGACGGGAAGTGACAGGATGGGAGGTGACAGGATGGTTGCTGACAGGATTGGTGGTGACAGGATGGGAGGTGGCAGGATGGGAGGTGGCAGGATGGGAGGTGAAAGGATGGGAGGTGGCAGGATGGGAGGTGGCAGGATGGAAGGTGAAAGGATGGGAGGTGACAGGATGGGAGGTGACAGATCCTGTCACGTGACAGGATGGGAGGTGACAGGATGGGAAGTGACAGGATGGGAGTGGAAGGTGACAGAATGGGAGTTGACAGTATGGGAGTTGACAGGATGGGAAGTGACAGGATAGGAGGTGACAGGGGAGGTGGCAGAAGAGGTGACAAGATGGATGATTATCACTTTTTGCCCCCATTCTAAAAAAGAAAACATAAGGAAATGCATTCAATAAAAACACATATATCATTCTATCACTGAAATAGCTGTATGACATTTCGACATTTCGTTATCTAAATCAGAAGACTATGTCCACACCTGGGTAGATTTGAAGGAACCCGCTCCATTAATCTGTGACATAAGCCACCTGAGGACACGTTGACCTTTTATAACATTGTCCATCTTGGTGTAAGCTAGGATGACATAGGAGGCGGTCTCTATGTCTGATGGTCCTGAAGGCAGACTGCGGTACAGACGACCGTTGTCCTTATAGACTGACTGTGTGGCTGTGCTCCAGTACATCATATCATCTGTAAATTACATAATTTCTACCTCATATTTTACCTGCATAATGAAACCATACAATGATACATTAATTGACTTTGATCCTGAGAGAGGTTGTTTTAATTTAAGTTAATAACCCTGATCGAGAAAGATCTTCTTTTTTTACTAAATAATCCTGAGAGATTTCTGTAATTATTTGTAATTACATAGAGCTTGTGAGAGATCTTCATTCATTGCATTTAATTTCCATAATCCTGAAGGATTGTTTTAATCACCTATTTATCCTGAGAGATCTTAATAAATCAAAGCTGATTACTCAGATATTTAGAGATCTTTTCACAGTTATTCATTCTGATCCTGAGAGATTTTTACCAATCACACATAATTACTCAAATCCTGAGAGATTTCTTCCAATCACACGTAATTACTCAAATCCTAAGAGATTTTTACCAATCACACATAATTACTCTGATCCTGAGAGATTTTTACCAATCACACATAACTTTGATCCTCAGAGATTTTTACCAATCACACATTACTCTGAGCCTAGAGATTTTTACCAATCACACGTTATTACTCTGATCCTGAGAAATTTTTACCAATCACACATAATTACTCTGATCCTGAGAGATTTTTACCAATCACACATTACTCTGATCCTAAGAGATTTTTACCAATCACACATAATTACTCTGATCCTGAGAGATTTTTACCAATCACACATTACTCTGATCCCGAGAGATTTTTATCAATCACACATAATTACTCAAATCCTGAGAGATTTTACCAATCACACTTAATTACTCAAATCCTAAGAGATTTTTACCAATCACACATTACTCTGATCCAGAGAGATTTTTACCAATCACACGTAATTACTCAAATCCTAAGAGATTTTACCAATCACACATTACTCTGATCCTGAGAGATTTTTATCAATCACACATAATTACTCAAATCCAAAGAGATTTTTACCAATCACATGTAATTACTCTGATCCTGAGAGATTTTACCAATCACACATAATTACTCTGATCCTGAGAGATTTTACCAATCACACATTACTCTGATCCCGAGAGATTTTTATCAATCACACATAATTACTCAAATCCTGAGAGATTTTACCAATCACACTTAATTACTCAAATCCTAAGAGATTTTTACCAATCACACATAATTACTCAGATCCTAGAGATTTTTACCAATCACATGTAATTACTCTGATCCTGAGAGATTTTTACCAATCACACGTAATTACTCTGATCCTGAGAGATTTTTACCAATCACATGTAATTACTCTGATCCTAGAGATTTTTACCAATCACATGTAATTACTCTGATCCTGAGAGATTTTTACCAATCACATGTAATTACTCTGATCCTGAGAGATTTTTACCAATCACATGTAATTACTCTGTAATTACTCAGATCCTAAGAGTTTTTTACCAATCACACATTACTCTGATCCTAAGAGATTTTTACCAATCACACATTACTCTGATCCTGAGAGATTTTTACCAATCACATGTAATTACTTTGATCCTAGAGATTTTTACCAATCACATGTAATTACTCTGATCCTGAGAGATTTTTACCAATCACATGTAATTACTTTGATCCTAGAGATTTTTACCAATCACACGTAATTACTCTGATTCTGAGAGATTTTTACCAATCACACGTAATTACTCTGATCCGGAGAGATTTTTACCAATCACATGTAATTACTCAGATCCTAAGAGATTTTTACCAATCACACATAATTACTCAGATCCTAAGAGATTTTTACCAATCACACATTACTCTGATCCTAAGAGATTTTTACCAATCACATGTAATTACTCAGATCCTAAGAGTTTTTTACCAATCACACATAATTACTCAAATCCTGAGAGATTTTTACCAATCACACATAATTACTCAAATCCTGAGAGATTTTTACCAATCACATGTAATTACTCAGATCCTAAGAGATTTTTACCAATCACACATAATTACTCAGATCCTAAGAGTTTTTTACCAATCACACATAATTACTCAAATCCTGAGAGATTTTTACCAATCACACATAATTACTCAAATCCTGAGAGATTTTTACCAATCACATGTAATTACTCAGATCCTAAGAGATTTTTACCAATCACACATAATTACTCAAATCCTGAGAGATTTTTACCAATCACATGTAATTACTCTGATCCTGAGAGATTTTTACCAATCACATGTAATTACTCTGATCCTGAGAGATTTTTACCAATCACATGTAATTACTCTGATCCTGAGAGATTTTTACCAATCACATGTAATTACTTTGATCCTGAGAGATTTTTACCAATCACATGTAATTACTCTGATCCTGAGAGATTTTTACCAATCACACGTAATTACTCTGATCCTGAGAGATTTTTACCAATCACACGTAATTACTCTGATCCTGAGAGATTTTTACCAATCACACGTAATTACTCTGATCCTGAGAGATTTTTACCAATCACATGTAATTACTTTGATCCTGAGAGATTTTTACCAATCACACGTAATTACTCTGATCCTAAGAGTTTTTTACCAATCACACGTAATTACTTTGATCCTAGAGATTTTTACCAATCACACATTACTCTGATCCTGAGAGATTTTTACCAATCACATGTAATTACTCTGATCCTAAGAGTTTTTTACCAATCACACATAATTACTCTGATCCTGAGAGATTTTTACCAATCACATGTAATTACTCTGATCCTGAGGTATTCCTCCGCAAACTTAATTGTTTCTATTCTGATCCTTCAACAAATCTTTTTTAACTTAATTCTGATCCTGAGAGAGCTATAATTTAATCAAACTTAATAACCCTGATCCTGAGAGAGATCTTCAAGTTTCTGCAGAACATCAGATGTTAAGGAACTCTCCCCCAAGGCAAAAGCATATGCCAGTATTGCCAGTTGAAAGTACTTCCGTTGAGCTACCCAAGTATCTTTATTCAGCATGTAGTCAGCTTCCATTGCACTCAGGACAAGAGCCAATTTGATATCAAGATTCTGCAAATACAAGTTTTTTTTAATAATGAACCACTGTGAATAAAAACAAATGAACAAGAGGGCCATGGAACTTAATGGTCATCTGATAATTGTTGAATGAATGAACAAACCACAGAATTTGCAGATAGTGTTGAATTCCCACGATGATATTTCAGACCACATTTGGTATAAATCCAATAAAGCATTAAGGAAGAATAGTGTTTTGAAGCAAAATCATTGACTAACTTTCCCATTTAGGCCCCCCAGGGGTCAAATCAATTTTCTGAATTCATGAAATGACAACCCACCTGCAAGAATGTTTCAGATCAAATTTGGTTGAAATCTACCAAGGCATTAAATATACATAGCATTTTGAAGCAAGGTTTTGTCTAACCTCCCCAATTGGGGCCCTGCCCCACAGTCCCTCGGAGTCAAGTCAACTTTCTGAATTTAAAAAATAATTTCCCACCCCAAATGATCTTTCAGACCAAATTTTGTTGAAATCTGCCAAGGTGTTAAGCAGGAGTAGTGTTTTAAAAAAAAAAGTTTACAGATGGTGCATGACGACAGATGGTGCATGACGACGGATGATGTACATTAGCAATAGGTCATCTTGACCCTTTGTGTCAGATGACCTTAAAACTTCATTTCTGCATATTCAGGTGACTTAATACTAATGCAAGTTATCAATCTAATGGGTAAGACATGTGATTGAGTCCTTAGGAACTTACTGGAGTTCTCAAGGTCATTTCTGCCACGCCTTCCTTCAGACTAGAGTAAATATATGCAGCCAAAGTGGACTTTGTATTGCTGCCACCCTGCAAACACAACATGAACATATGATCTGTTAAGAAATAACATATGTTGTGAGGCTACGCAACACAAATTTATCATATCCATCCCGAGAACCCTCACACCTTTTTAGTTCATACACTCAAGTAAAATGATTTTATTCTATAAGTTGTATATGTCTATAAATAGTATTTAGTTAGTATATTTCTATAAATAGTTTTTAGTCAGTATATTTCTATAAATAGTTTTTAGTCAGTATATTTCTATACATAGTATTTAGTCAGTATATTTCTATAAATAATTTTTAGTCAGTATATTTCTATAAATAGTTTTTAGTCAGTTTATTTCTAAAAATAGTTTTTAGTCAGTATATTTCTATTTAGTCAGTATATTTCTATAAATAGTTTTTAGTCAGTATATTTCTAGTTATAGTTTTTAGTCAGTATATTTCTAGTTATAGTTTTAAGTCTGTATATTTCTATAAATAGTTTTTAGAAAGTATTTTCCTATATTTTTTAATCAGTAAAATTTCATCAAATATCAATAGGATATATTTCCAGCATCATGCGGTGTGATAATTGCTCACACAACAAAAATAAAGCCCAAAGTCGAACAGCCATAATCATACTAAAATTTAGTATGAAGGAAACCCAGCTGAAACTAATTAATTAAGGTTTTACAATTTAATAAAGAAATAAATATTCAACATTCTTAAAATAAATAACATCTAATTCTGTCACATGATATATACCATCATTTCGGAGTGAATCACTCGACCAGGTTCGTGAAAGGTGTGGTCTCGTTCATCTAGCTGATTCAATAACCAAACAGCACTTGCAGAAATCAGGTCCTCATCGACAACATCTGATATATATGTTTTTGCCTTAGCAAAAGATTTCACCACAAATGCGGTCAGCCTGAAACACATACCAGGTGAATCATAGTTGTCTCCCTTACTCTTCAATGTAGTACCTGTAATGATGCTTTTCCATTGATATGACACCAGAAATGTTTCATTACGTACAGGTGCAACAGAAAAACATTCATTCTGTTTGCATAAAGAGTACACACATGATATCAGAAAACACTGACAGAAATTCAAACCAAGTTTTGATGAAATGGGGGCAAAACATGAACAAAACCTAAACACAACCTCTGAAATTATACCAGGAGAATCAAACTTTCCATTTCTACTTTAATGATGACACCGGCATGTAAATCTTAGGTCAGTCCAATGAAGTAAATCACGTTCTCAAACCATCAAGTAAACAGCAGGTGATTAAGTATATATTCATTTACAACAAAAACTATGAAACTTACCAAGAGCTCCCAGATGGATCACTCTCTCCAAAAGCACTGAATGAACCATCATTGTGCTTGTATTTTAACTCCCTTTGGTAGCCTGTAAGTCCGATGTGAAGAAATATAAAAGTTATCAATTCATGACAAAGGTTGAGTGATATCACACATTTAAACCTCAGCTTTAAGCCCTGGATAGTGAGAATATCTAACTCAGTGGGCTTTTTCATTCACATATATGAGGCGTTGTAAAGCATTTAAATTAAGATAGTAATTTGTGTAAACCAACTATTTTCTAATTTCCACTTTTGTGGCCCTGCACTTATGTCCCTTGTATTTGAAGGAAATCAATTTATGTATGAAGGATGTATTGTCAAACTACTTTTTGGGGCCTCAGCCCCGGGACCATTTGGGGACGAAACCCCCATTGATGTTTCAGTCCATATTTGGTTGAAATCACATTAAGCAGGAGTAGTGTTTCAAAAGAAAAGTTTATGGATGGCGCACAGTGATGGATGCAGCATGATAGATGAATGTTTAATGCTGTAACTGGGCCAAACTAACTGATTCCTTGGATCAGGTGAGATATAGATTATTTACAGGTAATCTCTGGTATTACCTGATTCCATGTACTTGTTTGTACGATCCACAAGTGACTGATCAACAAAATCTTTCACAGCTTCCATATATTTCCTGACAAAAATGCTAGGAACGAGAGTAATCATATTCTGTTCTCCACAACCACAAGGTTGTCTGACCAGTGAATCCAGGTTCTCAATGGTTGGCCCCATAACGTCTCCTGTAACACGAAGATTCTTAATCAAACGACAGCTGATATCCACATGTATCTGTCAGTATTAAGATGTTATGTAAGTGTCAGTGTTAAGGTATTGTGTACAGTGTTAAGGTGTTATGTACCTGTCAGTGTTAAGGTATTGTGTACAGTGTTAAGGTATTATGTACCTGTCAGTGTTAATATGTTATGTACCTGTCAGTGTTAAGGTATTATGTACCTGTCAGTGTTAATATGTTATGTACCTGTCAGTGTTAAGGTATTATGTACCTGTCAGTGTTAATATGTTATGTACTTGTCAGTGTTCAGGTATTATGTACCTGTCAGTGTTAAGGTATTGTGTACCTGTCAGTGTTAATATGTTATGTACCTGTCATTGTTAAGGTATTATGTACCTGTCAGTGTTAATATGTTATGTACCTGTCAGTGTTAAGGTATTATGTACCTGTCAGTGTAAATAAGTTATGTACCTGTCAGTGTTAAGGTATTATGTACCTGTCCATGTTAATATGTTATGTACCTGTCAGTGTTAAGGTATTATGTACCTGTCAGTGTTAATATGTTATGTACCTGTCAGTGTTAAGGTATTATGTACCTGTCAGTGTTAATATGTTATGTACCTGTCGGTGTTAAGGTATTATGTACCTGTCAGTGTTAAGGTATTGTGTACCTGTCAGTGTTAAGGTATTATGTACCTGTCAGTGTTAATATGTTATGTACCTGTCAGAGTTAAGGTATTATGTACCTGTCAGTGTTAAGGTATTATGTACCCATTAGAGTTTAGGTGTTTTGTACCTGTCAGAGATACATAATTTGATCTTGATCCAGCCACCACTTCAGTCCCTTCAGGTAATGCAATTGGTATGGTGAACTCAGCAGTTTTGTCCACATCATGTTTTATAGCCATAGAAATAGCTCCTGTTTCTGTGATTCCCTCTGGCTGTAAATACAAATATATAAATATTAATGGATCTTTTAGACAACTAAATCTTTTATAAAGAGTTTATTTTATCACCTATTTAACATACTGATAATTCCCCATCACCATCCCTGACTGTGATTGGCTGATAAAGACATGAGTTGATTACCTGACTGTGATTGGCTGATGAAGACTTGAGTTCATTACCTGACTGTGATTGGCTGATGAAGACTTGAGTTGATTACCTGACTGTGATTGACTGATGAAGACTTGAGTTGATTACCTGACTGTGATTGACTGATGAAGACTTGAGTTGATTACCTGACTGTGATTGGCTGATGAAGACTTGAGTTGATTACCTGACTGTGATTGGCTGATGAAGACTTGAGTTGATTACCTGACTGTGATTGACTGATGAAGACTTGAGTTGATTACCTGACTGTGATTGGGTGATGAAGACTTGAGTTGATTACCTGACTGTGATTGGCTGATGAAGACTTGAGTTGATTACCTGACTGTGATTGACTGATGAAGACTTGAGTTGATTACCTGACTGTGATTGACTGATGAAGACTTGAGTTGATTACCTGACTGTGATTGACTGATGAAGACTTGAGTTGATTACCTGACTGTGATTGGCTGATGAAGACTTGAGTTGATTACCTGACTGTGATTGGCTGATGAAGACTTGAGTTGATTACCTGACTGTGATTGACTGATGAAGACTTGAGTTGATTACCTGACTGTGATTGGCTGATGAAGACTTGAGTTGATTACCTGACTGTGATTGACTGATGAAGACTTGAGTTGATTACCTGACTGTGATTGACTGATGAAGACTTGAGTTCATTACCTGACTGTGATTGGCTGATGAAGACTTGAGTTCATTACCTGACTGTGATTGGCTTATGACCACAGGCATTAGAACTATATTTCCTATGGTGTTTGAAATGGGTGATGTATTTTAAAAAAAATTTTGAGAAACAAAAGTCAGTCAAAAATTTAAATAAAATGAAATTTTATAGTTTGGGTAACTATCTAAACAAGAGAAACTTTATGACTTCATTCAAGAACTGTTCATGTGACTGTGATATTGTTTCTTAGGCAAAAGGGGAATGGAGGTCAAAAGTATTTCAGCGAAGCACTTGCCCATTCATAATGTGTCAGGATTTACATACCATTTGTTAGTTCTTTATGAAGAACCCAAGCAGGAATATTGATAAGTGTATGTTCATATCTATTTTATAATTAAATACCCAAATTTTTAAACTCACATCAAGGTGCCCATCATCGTAACCAATGAGAATCTAAAGTGTCAACCATGATCATTCCAACTATTGTTGTACTGGCAGAAAATACACTTAAATCAGTTTTAGTGCTGATTCGACCCCCACCCTGTAAATACCTTGAACACCTAAATTCCATTAAATCTTACTCAACCCCCACCCTGTAAATACCTTGAACACCTAAATTCCATTAAACCTTACTCAACCCACACCCTGTAAATACCTTGAACACCTAAATTCCATTAAACCTTACTCAACCCACGCCCTGTAAATACCTTGAACACCTAAATTCCATTAAACCTTACTCAACCCCCACCCTGTAAATACCTTGAACACCTAAATTCCGTTAAACCTTACTCAACCCACACCCTGTAAATACCTTGAACACCTAAATTCCATTAAACCTTACTCAACCCCCACCCTGTAAATACCTTGAACACCTAAATTCCGTTAAACCTTACTCAACCCACGCCCTGTAAATACCTTGAACACCTAAATGCCATTAAACCTTACTCAACCCCCACCCTGTAAATACCTTGAACACCTAAATTCCATTAAACCTTACTCAACCCACACCCTGTAAATACCTTGAACACCTAAATTCCATTAAACCTTACTCAACCCACACCCTGTAAATACCTTGAACACCTAAATTCCATTAAACCTTACTCAACCCCCACCCTGTAAATACCTTGAACACCTAAATTCCATTAAACCTTACTCAACCCCCACCCATTAAACCTTACTCAACCCCCACCCTGTAAATACCTTGAACACCTAAATGCCATTAAACCTTACTCAACCCACACCATGTAAATACCTTGAACACCTAAATTCCATTAAACCTTACTCAACCCCCACCCTGTAAATACCTTGAACACCTAAATGCCATTAAACCTTTCTCAATCTCTACCCTGCAGCATCAGGTTATCATAGTAATAATGAAGTAAAGACAACTGATTATTTGTTTTATCAGTCCAGGTCTTACAAGAATTTTAAGGTACTAAGATTTGACATTTTGAATATACACAAGTTTCTTGAGTACGTCATGTAAAACATTCCCCAAAATTTTCCATAAAGACCATCTGAATATTTTTAGTGCAGTAAACAAGTTCAGAGCAAGTCATGGACATAATCAAGGGAATAACCCTTGTATATTAATTGTAAGGCTGAAACTGAAGCAGAATGTTTAAAGTTGCTGCAGAACCCCTGGTGTAAATTGGACAAACTGTATTAACAGAAAATGGTCTAATTCTGAAAGGATATATCCCCTTAGTTTTAACACAACATGGGATTTATATTCTTTGTTAAAGACTTTGATAGATTATTTCAGGACCAGCTTGTTTTCAAGGTAGATATCTTGTTTATAATTTAAGGGTGGTTTTATCTACAGATTAAGGCTTATATTTGAAAAAAATGATGAAACATTTCCAAAAACACTAGAACATGACATGCTAGGTGTTCCAATAGTACAATCAGCAGTAAGTGTAGTAACCCGATAAAAAGGTTTCAATTTGGATGTGAAGAAATACAAATTTTAGCAAACAGGCCT